ACTTTACAGCTGGGGGAAACTGAGGCAGAGAGGCCCCCAGCAACTTGCCCTCCCGAGTCAGACAGCAGGTCAGTGGGAAGAGAGTCCAGACTCTCAGCCCATCTTTCTGAAAGCAGGACCACTGGTCCAGCCAAGAAAACGAGAGCGCGCTGGGGGTCGGAGTAGACAGGGTCAGGTGGCTAGAGCCAGGAGAGGAAACAGCCGTGTACCACAGCAGCACGGGAGGTCCTGGCTCACGGCAAGTTCAGTTTACTAGCCCTGAAGAAGGGGTGTTCAGCTGATGTAGGTCCCCGGGGACGAGTCCCTGTAGCATCAGTGCAGTGCCCAGAGAGATGCTGCCTACTGGGGCCTTATTTTCATGTCCACGTATTTGTACGAGTAGCGGTGCCCCTTCCCGGTGGACCAGTTGATGCCGTTGGCATAGGAGCTGTGTTCACCTTTGAGGTACAGCCCATTGAGGTTGGAGGAGTGGCACCCCCATGGCACAGCTGCCCTCGTAGGTGTCATGGTCTTTGTCCCACATGGAGAACGCCAGCTTCGCGTGTCCTGAGAGAGAATCTCCTGCAAGGGGGAGAAGGCAAATACACACCAGGCTTGGCCTACGGCATCTTCCTTCCGGTCCCAAACTCACAGTGGGTGGGCACCGGCCTTCCCAAGCTGCAGGCTTAGCAGAGACTTGCCTCTTGGTCAGCGGCTCTCAACCCAAGGTACATGCACCCCCAGAGGTAGGCAGAGCTCTTCCAGGGGTACAACATCTCCCGGAGGTTTGCCAAGCTTTACAACAGGCTACATAAAAAGCCCTGGCAAGGACAGAACAAACCCACTTGTTTAGACATGTCAGTATAGACTGTGAGAACGGGAAGGAGCCTCGAGAGGTCGGAGAGCAGGGGTGGGCAATCATTTTAAAATGGGGGCCACTTCATAAATCTCTAAAATGGGCCTGGGCTGTCTCAGAAGGGGCGGGGCCTCAGATGGAGCAGGTGGGACCAGGAGTCTTCTAGTGCTTCCTTCTCACCAACCCTGATTGGTCTCCCCCTCCTGCCTTTGGCACCTGGAGAGAATCACCAGCTGTTTTAAAACAGCTGGTAATTCCCTCTAGGTGCTGCAGTGGGAAGAGACCTCATGCCCTGGTGTCTCCCACCCCCGCCCCTCTGCGCCCTTACACCCTGATTGGTCTGGGGGTGGAGCGAATGTGCAAAGTCTCTTGTGGTCTGGCCCGTGGAGGCTCCTTGGCTCACCCCTGTCAGAGTCCCGTCCCCTGAACTCATGGCAGGGCCAAGCACCTTCTAGAGCAGGGCTACTCAACTTTGGAAGCCCCAGGGGCCACAATGAAAGTCACAGCAGATGCTGAGGGCTACAGCTTAAGCGTGGTTGCATATACATGCAAATATATATATGCAAATAGCTTCTTTCAGACTTACAGGCATGAATACAAAGATTAAGGCAAGACTACACACCACGGAGGCCCCATTTAAGTCAGTTCTGCTGATATTAATGAAATGCAATATTGACCCTATTTCCACCCACACGACAGCACTTTTCATGAGCAACAACAGTCCAGGAATTTAACTACTATAGGTCTCAACTGGCCTGGGGGCAGTGGAACAGCAGGGCAGCTATGGGCCAGATCTGGCCTGCAGAAGCCCCTTTGCCCACCCCATCAGAGTCCAGTCCCCAGCACTCATGGCAGAACCAAGCACAGGGGCGGCCCGTCCATATAGGCAAACTAGGCGGTCGCCTAGGGCCCCAAGTTAAATGGGCACCAAATGGTTGTGCAATATCATTGAGGGGTTTGGAGGTGGAGGTGCCGATTGCATGTTTTGCCTAGGGCGCCAGTTGCTGACAGCTAGTCTAAGGTCACCCCTGAAAGTACCATCTAGGCCATCCCTGAGGTGTTTGTCTAACCCGCTCTTAAAAACCTCCAGTGATAGAATTCTACATCCTCCCTAGGCAATTTATTTCAGGGCTTAACCACCCTGTCAGCTAGGACATTTTTCCTACAATATTTATATTCCAAGCGATTTATAATTAGAGGGTAGAAAATAAGCAATTTGTCAGAACAAATGTGTCACAGTACACAAGTGGGTCTGATTTAGTAAGCACGTATATAAGGGGGGGTGAAACTTGGAGGAGTGTAAGACAAACCTGACTTCTGAAAAAGGTACAGTAATCTGGAAAGCTTGAGAGCCACTGCTCTATGGGTTAGCCTTTGGCCATTATTTTTCAAAACTCATGGGGTGTATCTAGACTACAGAGTTTTGTCGACAAAAGTGGACTTTTGTCGACAAAACTATACCTGCGTCTACACTACCGCTGAGTTCTGTTGGCATAACGTCGACAGAACTCAGCAGTTTTGTCGACACTGGTAAACCTCATTTTACGAGGCATAACGCCTTCTGTCGACAGAGTTCTGTCGACAGAAGGCGTTATTGAATGTAAACTATCCTTGCGTCTACACTGCCATGTCGACAAAGCAGCTTGCTTTGTCGACAGAACTGAATGTAGTGTAGACGCTCTTTGTCGACAGAAACTTTGTCGACAGTATCTGTCGACAAAACTTCTGTTGACAAAACTCTGTAGTCTAGACGTACCCATGGAGAGCAGTAGAGATCCTAGATAATTGGAAAAAGGGAAATGTAGTGCCCATCTTTAAGAAAGGGAAGAAAGAGAATCCAGGGAACTACAGACCAGTCAGCCTTACTTCAGTCCCTGGAAAATCATGGAGAAGATCCTTAAGGAATCTACTTTGAAGTACTTGGAAGAGGGGAAAATAATCAGGAATAGTCAACATGGATTCACAAAGGGCAAGTCATGCCTGACCAATCTGATTAGCTTCTATGATGAGGTAACTGTCTCTGTGGATATGAGAAAGTCAGTGGATGGATCTTGACTTTAGCAAAGTTTTTGATATGGTCTCCCACAATATTCTTGCCAGCAAGTTAAGGGAGTATGGATTGGATAAATGAACTGTAAGATGGATAGAAAGCTGGCTAGACTGCCGAGCCCAATGGGTAGTAATCAACGGCTCAACGTCAGGTTGGCGGTCGGTTTGTAGCAGAGTGCCCCAAGGATCGGTTCTAGGGCTGGTTTTGTTCAACATCTTTATTAATGACCTGGACGAGGGGATGGATTGCACCCTCAGAAAGTTTGCAGAGGATACTAATCTAGGGGGAGAGGTAGATATGCTGGAGGACAGATTAGAGGATCGGGCCAAAAGAAATCTGATGAGGTTCAACAAAGACAAGTGTAGAATCCTGCACTTGGGACAGAAAAGTCCCAAGAATTGTTACCGGCTGGCTAAGTAGCAGTTATGCAGAAAAGGACCTGGGGATTACAGTGGATGAGAAGCTGGATATGAGTCAACAGTGTGCCCTCATACCCAAGAAGGGTAATGGCACATTAGGGTACATTAGGACAGTGTTTCTTAAGCTTTTTAATACCGAGGAACACCACACAATTTTTTTTTAAACGGGGAACACCAAGGATTTTTCTTTTGAGCATGAAAAAGCCCCCAGAGAAAAGTTGTTGAGAAAAAAAACCCCCCCACAAAAAAAACCCCTAAAAAGGAGGCTTGTTCCTTTAAGGGTGGCCATTTTTAATTCTGTTCTCTCTGCAGCACACCTCCGACTCCTCACAGCACACCCGTGTGCTGCGGAACACACTTTAAAAAATGCTGCATTAGGCGGAGCATTGCCAGCAGATCTAGAGAAGTGATTATTCTGCTTTATTCGACTCTGGTGAGGCCACATCTAGAATATTATGTCCAGTTCTGGGGCCCCCCACTATAGAAAGGATGTGGACACATTGGAGAGGGTCCAGCAGAAGGCGACCAAAATGATTAGTGGGCTGGAGTGCATGACCTATGAGGACAGACTGAGGGATTTGGGTTTGTTTTGTCTGCAGAAGAGTGAGGGGGGATTTGATAGCAGCCTTCAACTTCCTGAAGGGGGGTCCAAAGAGGATGGAGAAAGGCTGTTCACAGTAGTGAAGGATGGCAGAACAAGGAGCAATGGTCTCGAGTTACAGTGTGGAGGGAAAGGGGGTGTGTCTAGGTTGGATATTCGGAAACACTATTTCCCTAGGAGGGTGGTAAAGTACCGGAATGGGTTCCCTAGGGAGGGGGTGGAATCTCCATCCCTAGAGGTTTTTAAGTCTCGGCTTGACAAAGCCCTGGCTGGGTTGATTTAGTTGGGATTGGTCCTGCCTTGGGCAGGGGGCTGGACTTGATAACCTCCGGAGTTCTCTTCCAGCTCTATGATTCTATGACTGATTCAAACACACTCAGCCCACATTCCTTTGCAGATTCATTAGTGGGAAGTATCACATGAGTCCCTGCTTCCCACCAAGCACAGTCCTTTACACCAGTGCAAAGCCTCACATTGGTCTGATCTGGCAGCAGTTTACACCCATTGGTGTAAATGCTTGACCCAGCATGCAGAGAGAATCTAGAGTAAGGCCCTACCCCATAGTTCTTCCCCTGGCTGTCTGGTATGAAAGGAGTTGTGGGGGTGGGGGTCACAGTCTAGTTCCTAGGAGACAGTCAGTGCCCATACACCCCTGTACCTCCAGCCCCACTAATGCCCTTGCTGGGACTAGCATGGGTCCAATAACATTTCTCATGGCACTTCCTAGATGGATTTTGCTACATTTTCCAGATCAAATCTAGAAATTCCTCTTCCTCAACCAGTTCTAGCTGGAAACTCTCCACTGAAAAGGCAAGGCCTAACGGATACAGGGCAGAGCTGGTCCCTCCACGTCAGGGCTGAAGCACTGTGGACGTGCATGGGGATGCTCTCACAGTCACTGCCGCGGCCGGGCCTGGTGTGTAGACATACAGGGGCTCAGGGGGACAGGCTGGGGCACTTCACCAGTGCTAACACATCACAGCGGAGGGCTGAGGAAATCTCACCCTGGCACACCCTGGGATTTTTAAGCCTTTCCTAGGCGATAACCCCTCAGCCTCTCCCAATCTGAGGGGTCTCCCCACAGCGTGGGCAAGGCGCTGGACCCTGCCAGCTGTCGTTGGGAGGGAGAACGTCGGGCAGCGGCTTACAGGCTCTCAGGGGACGTCCCCACAGCATCCGGGCGCTGCGATCCCCAGCACAGACAGACACGCACTAGCTCCACCTGAGGCAGCGCACTGGAAGTAGCTGGGTGGCCGCGGCAGCCCAGCCGGTCACTCAGGATCCTCACCGAGAACATACCCGGGCCTGCCGACGGGGGGCCTTTTGGGTGGCTAGCCCCCGCTGTTGGGCCACGCTGCAGTTTTTAGCGCACTCATTTGAACTAGCGCGGGTACATCCTCCTGAGCAAGGATTCACACCTCCCGCCACAGAGCAGCCGTATCCGTAGTAACCGTGAGAACCTGACACTGCTCGTAAAGTTTCGCTCACGGTCATGGGGGTGAGGGGCAGCAAAGGCCCTGACAGGATCTAGAGACAGTGATTCCCTGCCCCTCAAGCTTTGCTAATGCCTGCTCAGACCCTCCCCCTCTTCCTGCAGGGCTGCTAGGCTGGACTCCCCCAGCCCAGGCCTCTGCGGATTCTGCTCCTCTCACAGTGAGGGCTGGGGGGCTGCTTTGGTATTTCTGTGACTGGCTCTGCTCGTCCTTGCTGCTCTGCCAGAGGGTCTTGGGGAGCCTGCAGGCTCGGGCACAGATCCTCAGCCGCTGTCAATTATGGCAAGGAAAGGCTGCCCCTCGGGGATGAGCTCGCCTCCTGCATCAAGCCTTCCCAAATCAGAGATCTGGACTCAGCAGCCAGGGAGGCCTCTGGTCTGAGCTCCACCCTGCAGCCGTCAGATGGCAAAGCCCAGAGAGAGAGCTGATGTGCCAGGCTCTGCCCAGGAGAGGGCGAGGAGTGCGACAGCACAGGGGTGCCCGCCGGCCCTGGATGGCCCCCAGCCCCAGATGGCCCCCGTCAGGCCTGAGCAGAAGCCACCCGGTAACTCACCCATGGTGCCATCCAAGTAGGAGCCCAAGGCCAGCGTGTAGTTTTCCTCTTCACCCAACAGCTTGAAGCTGGTGTACTTGGCAAAGGTGCTGGTCTCGTTGAAGTCCTGGCATCAATCTGCAGCTGGTAGGTGCCTGACGCCGCAAGGAGAGACACATCAACATCCCAGCATTGCGGAAGAGAGCGACCACGGCACGCGGCCTGTGCCTGGCTTTTCCTCCCTGGGAGCATGAGCTACGTTCATTGAAGGAAGATGCAGCCGCCCTGAGGGTTACTGAAGCCTGGGGACACAAGACCGGGAAATGCGGAAGGAAATGGAGGTAGGAATTCTCCCCTGAGCTGGGGCACTGAACACGAGGCGCTGGAGCCGCGGTGCCAAAGTGGGGAACTCAGCATAGGAAACACCTGATGTTTGAAGGCAACATGAGGGCAAAACATATAAAGGGCTTCCTCACTGCCCCAGACTTCCACTCAGACATGCATCCTTGTGGAGCTCCCTGGCTCATACCGAGCTCCGTCTGGGGTTTACCCTTTTCTAGAAACCCTCCCCAGCATGCTCTGTGGCTTGCTGGCCCTTTAAACTCAGGGGAGCTGGGCAGCCCCACAAATGGCCATTTGACCTCAGGCTGGACTTTGAATGCAGAGCCATAGCAGGGGTAAGTCCCACACCCGGCGCAAGCTCCGACTGAGTTGGGCTGATGGCCAGCCTGCTGAAAGTTTATGGGCAAGGTGAGGGGGGAAGTGCACATGGCCTATAGTATTAACTCATAAGCTTTGGCTAATCGGTAAATCAACTACACTATTACATCCCTAACGCAGTCAGAACAGGCTGAGTGGGTAGCAGTGAGCAAGTTGCCGCGTTGGCTTCAAAACTGACGAGGAAAAGTCTTTCTGGGATGCTCAGGGTTAACTCCCAGAGCCCGATGTCAACCCCTGCTATGCTAGCAGAGATCTGTTAAACTCAGGGATTTCACACCCTTGCAATACACCTCCCCAGTTCACTCCTCTCCCCTGGGCCATGTTCTGGTTCTCAGCCAGGGGGGATGGAAGATGGGTTATCTGGGCACCAGCCATATGCTAGACTTGCTGCAAGTCACATGCTCCTGCCTCAGCCCTGTGCCTGCCCTGGTATCTCCCTCTGGCTGCTTCTGTCCTAGCTGGGTGGGGAGACGTCTCCTTACCGCTGCTGGTGAGAAGGTGGATGTTGTCATTACCCAGCCAGAACTCAGATGCTTGGTTTCCAAACCCCTTCTTGTAGGACTCCCAGTCCCGGTAGAAATCCACAGACCCGTCCTGTCGCCGCTGGAACACCTGGAGGGTAAAGGGCAGCTCACACCCAAACTCAGCCAGCCCCATGGGCAATACGGGCAGGACATGGGGAGCTGGGCAGGCCCCGATCCTTCCCAGCATGGCCCAGGCCCATCCTTCCGATGACCTCACCAACCAGCCATCTCCCTACAGAAGGATTGACCCCGGATCTGCCTCCCTACAGACACAGGGCTCCGTGGCTGGAGGCAAAGGACCAGCACCCAGCTGCTCTCATGGTGCTGCTGAGAGCCAGAGTTTCTCAGTCTTGCTTAGCTGGGAAGGGACACACTCTAGTTCTCCGGGAGAGGAGACTAATGAGCTCTCCTGGGCTCCTTCAGCTCTAACGAGGCACATCTGTAAGAGCCACTGTCATGATTATGAGGGTTAGCCAGCAGCCTGGGGAAGCAGGGGTTAACTACACCTAGCCAGGTGGAGTGGCCAATAGGAATGTAGGTAGGACTTTCAAACTGGGACAAAGGAACTTGGTTTTTTCCCTCCTGTGTGTCTGTGAGTTCCTCCACAGCTCCAGAGAGAGGCAGACACACAGGAGGGAAAAACCCCAGTTCCTTTGTCCCAGTTTGAAAGTCCTACCTACATTCCTATTGGCCACTCCACCTGGCTAGGTGTAGTTAACCCCTGCTTCCCCAGGCTGCTGGCTAACCCTCATAATCATGACAGCTGCTGTGCCTGGAGGGGGCAGGTAGGAGCTTTCAAAGGGAAAAGAGGCCACAGGAAGGGGTGGTGAACACAGTGAAGACTGTGGCCTATAGAGACAGAGCAGCCGAGAGAGAAACAGTCTCTGGCCTCGGTCATAGGTGTGGGAACTTGGGTTGTGGGGGTGCTGCAGCGCTCCTGGCCTAGTGCCTGTGGTCACAGCTGCTGCCCTGTGTGCCAGGCATTGTGCTGCTGCCCTTCATGCTGGGGTTAGATTTAAATCCCCGTACACGGGGGTCTCTGCTGCTGGCCCGACATGCTAGGCTTTGCTCCTGGCTTCATCCAGGGGTGGACCTGGCTCAGCACCCCTACTTTTAATAATGTTCCCAAGCCACCGCTGCAGGGTGCCAAGGGACAGAGTGAGAGAGGACCTCCCTTGTCTTGTCTGGAGAGCCCCTCCCATGCCACACGGACTGGGGTCTGGTGGGACCCCACCTCCCACAGCCGCCAGCCTGTTGAGCTCTTTGGAAAGCCTGCCTGGCTGTTGCCTGGACCCACTCTGACGGGGACCTGCAGCAGTCTGCAGCCTCATCTATGGACCCACAGGCCCACACTGTGCAAAGTGGGGGTCCTCAAGTGGGCGGAGGCGTATTTCCTCCTGCCTCCTCCTTCCCGGCCTGCTTACCCCAGCCAGGGGAAGGGCAGAAGGACTCACCAGCCAGCCCCCGCCGTCCGTTGCCATGTCACAAAAGACGGTCAGCGTTCTCCCGGGGTGGGGGTGGATGGGGTACCAGCCGCTCAGCCCCTGCCCCTGCTCCAGCACCTCCTTGCAGTTCCTGGCACCTGCCCCCCCAGGGAAAACTCCAGCTGGTGAGTTTGTTATGGATGAGGCAGGTAGGAAGGTTCAGTCCAAGATGGGGGGGCGTGTCACTGAGCACCCCCTGCTCTCTCTTGGATGAACCCCTGTCCCTGAGCCTTGGGAAGGAAGGAGTGACGTTGGCTGTCGCAGCCGGTTGCTGGCTGACTGATAAACACGCCGCCGGCCCAGACGCGTGGGCGGACAAATCCTTTCCCCCTCCCTCGCTGCAATGAAACGTTTCTGGCAAACTGAAAAGCCGAGGGACGTTTCCCTTTGGGCTGAGCAGAAGGTGTGTTTGGGTTTGATGGCGAGTCCAGGCCGGGCTGGCCCTGTGTTTAGGGTCTGGCCGTATTTACACCTTGGACGGTTCTGCACAAAATGAGGAGAAATCTGGAAGCAGGAAGGTCGGGGTGAGGGGGTCAGAATGACATGTTGGGGGGGGAGGGTTGGGGTTTGCCTGAAGCGGTTTGGCGAAAGCAGCACACACTCTGGAAACAGTCTGGCGTTCCAGAAGCTGCGTTTTTCACAGAAAATGAGCTCCCCAGCGCTAACTCAGAGCTGGCTCCTCTCAGAGGCCTGAATGGACCCCGGAGGGGAAATAAGACCTGGGGGGGAAGCAAGGGAGGGGGGGAAATTTGTGAGGGACAAACAAGCTTTGAGGTGGGTAACCTGCTGCTCACAGGCCACATGCCAGCCCATCAGGGTTCTCTGTGTGGCCCATGCACCCCTCTCTGCCCCCTTCCCCCATGCCTCTTGCCTCCTCCTCCTCCTCCCCCCCCAGCACTTCTGGGCTATGTCTACACTCGCGGCTTCTTGCGCAAGTAATATGCAAATGAGGCTAAGCGTGGAATATCGCCGAGCCTCATTTGCATGCCTAATGAGCCACCATTTTTTTCAGAAGAGGCTCTTGCGCAAGAAGGCGCGTCTACACGGCCCCTTCTTGCGCAAGAAAACCCCTCCTGCGCAAGGCCGTGTCTTGAAAAGTAATAGGTGTAACGGCCTTGCGCAGGAGGGGTTTTCTTGCGCAAGAAGGGGCCGTGTAGACGCGCCTTCTTGCGCAAGAGCCTCTTCTGAAAAAAATGGTGGCTCATTAGGCATGCAAATGAGGCTCGGCGATATTCCACGCTTAGCCTCATTTGCATATTACTCACGCAAGAAGCCGCGAGTGTAGACATAGCCCTGGAGCACTATAAATCAGCTGATTTGCACCCTCCCTCGGCTCCTCCCACTCCCTCCCAGAGCTCGAATGCCACGAATATCGTGAGAGCCGCGCGCTCCCTCCGCTCCTTTACGTTACTTTCACTAGTCCTTTAACTGGCCCCTAGCACTGGGTCCCCTTGTGCTGAAGAGGCTCGAGTGCATGGGGCCGCAGGAGAATCTTGTCTTATTCTTGGGGTCATGGTTAGTGCACATGCCCCAGGTCAATCTGCCCCATGCCTGCTGAAACAAAGGAGGGTCACTTCTGGGGCCTGCTCACTAGCCTTGCTCGCCCATCGCTGAACTAGCTGCTGCCCGGCTGTTGCATGCTGGCCCTGATGGTGGATGTATCTGAGGTTGGACGATGCTCTGGGTTGCTGGAGGATTGAACTGCCGCCAGAGCAAAGGCAGGAAAACGGCTCTCACTCAGCGGCTCCCTGCTTTCAGACAGCTGCAAATGGCAGGATTCCCTTAGCTTGGGCGGAAGCAGGCCGTGCTTTTAGGGCGAGAGCTCCCAGGTTCGATTCCCCACGGACGGCCTGTGGCATCGGTGTGTTTGTAGCCATGCTGGCCTGCTCCGTGAGGGTAGGGTCTGAGGCTGAAGGAGGCGTGTACCTTGCTGCTGAGAGCTGGCGGGACTTGCATCTCCTGTGGGGAGAGAGAGGCAGCTATTGGTGGGACAGAGCATTCAGCAACTGGCCAGCAAGGACACAGGAGAGCCCCATGTGCTCTGAGAGGCGTGGCTCTCAAATGTCACCTCAGGCTGGGGACAGGGCCTTGCAGGGGGTGCTGGCCGCCGTGGGGCAGTGCAGAAGAATCTCTGTGGGGCCAGGCCTCGTCCCCAGCTGTTTGCCACTGCCCCGCCTGAGGAGAGGGACTTGGTCCCCTTCTCAGGAGCCGAGGAGGGGAAGGCGATAAGCCCTGGGAATGACGCCAAGGGGCTGACAGAGCTGTGAGGCTTCCCGGGGCCCAACCCTGCATCCCGCCAAAGTTACCTTTGTCTCCTTTGGGTCCAGCCTTCCCCACTGCCCCAGGGGAGCCCGTCTTGCCTGAAGAAAGAGACCAGAGACGTGACTGGGCCTTTCTAGCCTCCTGACAACAGCCTGTAGAAGCCCTGTGGTGCGGCTGGGGAACTGGGGTGTGGAGGAGACGGGATGGGGATTTCTAAAGGGCCTATTTGCTTCCATGGTCCTGGGTTCACACTCAGCCCGGTGGCTACTATTTATGGGCTCCAGTGAAATGAGTGAGTGGCTCAGGGGTGGGGGTGTCTGTGCTAGAAAAAATACCAGCGGCCACGGACGGGACCAGCCACGATGGCACGTCTCTCGTCCCCGGTCAGTGTCACGATTTACTTGCTCATGGGAGGAATATTGTGTCAGCCTCTTGGTGGCAGAGACGACCAGCCAAGATCTGCTGGGCATGGCCCCTCTCCAGCTCTTGCACCGTCCTGCTGCACGTGATCCTCTTTCCGCTGCCTGTCGGGCACATTCGCAGTGTAAGCACTTGGGGGTAGATGCTGCCAGGGCAGCCCCCTCTGGCTCTGACCTATTGCAGTACGCGTGATCCAGGTTAATAGTAACACCAGCCTGAGAAGGCAGACTCCTCTGGAGAACTCAAGCCTGGATTCTGCAAAACCTGTCTGTAACTTTCCCTGCCTGGCTGGAATAGAACCCACATCTAAAAGCTGTTTTTCCTGATAAGGCTTGAAATGCTCCTCAGCAGTGTTTCCTGTAAACTGAGCGCTTGGCTGGCCGCCCAGGAGAGATTCAAATGCTGCCCAGCACAGCACCCACACCAGGCAAAACAGGTTTCTATTGGTGGTGCACATGCCTTGGTGCATATAACATGGCAAAACATGTTTCTATTGGTGGTGCACATACCTTGGTGCATATAACAAAATTTATTCCACGCATGGAAGAAAATTAGAGGCCTCAGACCAGATGCTCAGGCTCCCTGATGTGTGTGTGTGTGTGTGTGTGTGTGTGTGTGTGTGTGTGTGTTTGAGGCTATATTCCGGCACACAGTGCGAAGGCTGCATGCATCCTCAAAGCAGTGCCCTTTTTGCTTTCCATGAGGTGGTCTCCGGTTCCCTGGTCTTTTCCTCTGGCCATCTCCTCCCCAGACTCTCTGAGCCCAGGTCCTGCCTGTTGGGTGAGTTAGTGGGGAGTCTGCCCATCCCTTTGTCTTGCCTGGGTGGGGGTGTCTGACATTAGGGCCAGGCAGAGCAAGAGCAGCCTCTGGCCTGTTTTATATTGATGCTGTGATTGCCAAGAACTGTCTGCATCGTCTCACCTGGTGGCCCTTGAGGGCCTGGATCTCCTTTAGCCCCAGGCAGGCCGTTGGTCCCCGGAGTGCCCGGTATTCCTGGGATCCCTGGCTGGCCCTGGAAAATGATCTTGCCTGCTCCACACTGAGATAATCCCTCCAGTCCTGAAAGAGGTGGAGAGGCAGCCTGGTGTGAGCAGAGCAGGTGCACAGCGAGGGGTGCCCTGGAGGTGACAACAGCTGCACAGCAGAGGGCCAAGAAGTGAGCATGAGGGATGCTGAGACTGTAGGATAACACTTATGGCCACTCTGTGTTACCGGCTGGGACCCCGCATACCTGGCCACCGGTGAGTCTCTTACAGGGAGCGCATCCCTTGTCTCTCTGCAATGGGAGCGCTGCAGCCTGTCTGTATCTGGTACCACAGCCTGAGCTGCTAGGAGCAGCCCTGCAACTTCCCATGCCTGAGGCTGGGGTACATGCCACTGGGACTTTGCAGGAAACAGTGCAGTCAGGGCTGGGCACGTCTGCCCAGATCTCTGTCCTCACTAGCTCAGGGTTTCATTGGCCACGGCCGCTGGAAGCACTTTGAACAACCAGGACAGCTGGCCAAGGGTGAGTTTTTTTTCATGGAGGCTAGAATGAAACATCCCCCCCCAGCAGAGGGTCACAACGCACTTGGCGCACGGGACTTGAACCTGAACCCCCAATGTGCAGATTGGGGAAACTGAGGCACACAGAGGCTACGCGCCAGGCAGCGGATGACACAGCAAGCTGGTGGCGCAGCCAGGAATAAATCCCAGTTCTCCAAACTCCCAGGCTGCGTTTTCACCCTCAGATATCGTGTAGCCAGGTGACAGCCCCTCTGCTCCGCTGATACCGACTGGAATATTGAGAAGCAGGCGGGAGCCCGGGCCCTGGGTCAGATTTGGGGTGGGGACCATTCCCTGCCTGTGAGGTTCCACCCATTTCCCAACTCAGGAGGCAACCTGCCCCTTTGAAAGTATGAAATAAAAATTGCTGGGGGAAGGGAGCCCCCCCCCCAAAGATGTTCTGTGTCCCTCTCCGTCCAGGCAATGAGACTTTCCCTGGAGGTTCCCAAGCCACGTCTGACAGCATGGAACTGGCGAGGGTCCTAACCAGACTGAGTGTGGGGGAACGGGGAGGCAGGGCAGATGGGGCTGGGTGCTTTCACCTGGTTACACAGTCCATGTTGCCGTGCTCATTGGCTCCTTGCACTGGCGGGGATGGGCAGGTGACAAGGAGGAGGGAGAAAGGCCAAGGAGGACAATGCTGGTGTCTGACTTCAGGGAGAGAAGTATCCTTAGCCCTATTTGGCAGATAAGGAAACTGAGGCACAGAACGATTTGGTGACTTGGCCAGGGCCCCACAGAGAGTCAGAGGCCAGAGCTGGAATGGACCCCAGGAGTCCTGACGTCCTGGTTCATCCTCTGCCTGTTAGATCAGTGAGCACAGCCGACACCGCCTAGCAGGGCAACCCGCCTCCGGATTCCCAGCTCAGTGCCTTGCTATCCAATGCAAAATGTCCCCATGCATGGTTCCCTGGAGGGAGGTGCCTATGCACCCCCCAGAGCCCATCCGTCCAGGCCTCCTGCTTCTAGGGACCCCAGCCCACGGTGTCAGCCTCACCCAGAGCCCAGTGCAGCGCAACCCAGCCAGGCCGTGTCCTCTCTGCTCTGGCTCAGGCTGGGATTGCTCAGACAAATCCCTTCAGACACCCCCCCCCTCGCCCCCACCAATGAGGATGCAGGGTGTCTCCCTTCCCCTGCACCCATGGAGCTGGAGGGTGTCTCCCTTCCCCCCACCCATGGGGCTATGGGGTGTTTTCCTCCCCCCGCCACCCATGGAGCTATGGGGTGTCTCCCTTCCCTGCACACATGGGGCTATGGGGTGTCTCCCTTCCCCCCACCCATGGGTCTATGGGGTGTCTCCCTTCCCTGCACACATGGGGCTATGGGGTGTCTCCGTTCCCCCCACCCATGGGTCTATGGGGTGTCTCCCTTCCCTGCACACATGGGGCTATGGGGTGTCTCCGTTCCCCCCACCCATGGGTCTATGGGGTGTCTCCCTTCCCTGCACCCATGGGGCTATGGGGTGTTTTCCTCCCCCCGCCACCCATGGAGCTATGGGGTGTCTCCCTTCCCTTCACACATGGGGCTATGGGGTGTCTCCGTTCCCCCCACCCATGGGTCTATGGGGTGTCTCCCTTCCCTGCACCCATGGGGCTATGGGGTGTTTTCCTCCCCCCGCCACCCAGCCATGGGGCATCCTCCTTCCCCCACCCTGGGGGCTATGGAATGTCTCCCTTCCCCCCACCCATGGGGCTATGGGGTATCTCCCTTCCCTGCACCCATGGGGCTATGGGGTGTTTTCCTCCCCCCGCCACCCATGGAGCTATGGGGTGTCTCCCTTCCCTTCACACATGGGGCTATGGGGTGTCTCCGTTCCCCCCACCCATGGGTCTATGGGGTGTCTCCCTTCCCTGCACCCATGGGGCTATGGGGCCTTCCCCCCACCCATGGGGCTATGGGGTATCTCCCTTCCCTGCACCCATGGGGCTATGGGGTGTTTTCCTCCCCCCGCCACCCATGGAGCTATGGGGTGTCTCCCTTCCCTTCACACATGGGGCTATGGGGTGTCTCCGTTCCCCCCACCCATGGGTCTATGGGGTGTCTCCCTTCCCTGCACCCATGGGGCTATGGGGGTGTCTCCGGGACATCCCCCTTCCCCCACCCTGGGGGCTATGGAATGTCTCCCTTCCCCCCACCCATGGGGCTATGGGGTGTCTCCCTTCCCCCCACCCTGGGGGCTACAGGTGTCTCCCCCGACCTCCTTGTCATTATCCTGATCCAAACCCCCCTCAGGTCAGCAGGAGCCCTTCCCTCACCTGTCGGGCTGAGTGAACACCCTGGCTGCCCGGTGGGGTGCTCTTCTGAAAGGCAGCTGCCCTGGCCAGGCCCTACTGCAGCCCCTCCTCAAGAGCCCGCTCCCTGCTGGAGCCCGTGAGTTTTCCCCCCAGGTTCTAGCACAACCCCCCACCCCAATGGATCCTGCAGGGTGCTGAGTACCCCCTCCCCTCCCTTCCCCCTCCCTGCCAGCTAACGTCAACAGGAGCCGCAGGTTCTCAGTGCTGCACTCCCCCGCTACTCACGCGCACAGCAGCTGGACTCTCTGTCCTCTGCCAGACCGGCTGGGGGGGCAGCAGCCACCACGAGGAACGCCAGAGCGAGGGGAAGGCCAGTGCAAGCCTGCATCTTGTCCTGCTGCCCCCCCAGATGCCTCTCGGAGCCTGGCCTGCTCGGCCCCTTATAAACCCTGGGCAGTGGCTGTGCCTGGCTCCCACAACAGGAAAGTTTGGAAATGGTTTCTCAGAGGCTGTGGGGCAGCCAAACACTTGTCTTGCGTAACGCTGTCTCTGCCCGGGAATCAGCCTTTCTGATTGATCATGTGGTGGTGCAAGAGTTGGCTCAGAGGTTCATGACAGTCCAGGATATGACTTATTTCCAGGAATCAAACAAGTGCCCAGGTACACAGTTATCTGGCTGCCAGGGAGCCTCCTTTTGCCCTTTCCACTCAGCTAAATCTGTGCTGTTTCAGGCAGCCACAGGCTCTTCTGAACTCCCTGTCCTGCGCGGTTATGGGGCATTGATCTGTGCTGTTGAACAGTTGCTGCGCTCCACCCCAGAGGTGGCTGTATTGTGGCGGTTGCTAAGCCCATTCCTGTTTGAAAGGCAGCTTGGCTCAGAGGAATGAGCCAGTTCCCCACTGAGCCAGCACAGTAACTCCTCCAGCTGGAGATCTGTAGTGGGAATGTGAGCCACCCCTGAGCAATCTCATCAGCCGTGAGCTCCAATTTACAGCTGGGCAAACTGAGGCTTGGGGAGCTGATGTGGTTTATGCAGAATCCTGGCATGAATCAGTGGCAGAGCTGGGAGTAGAACCCTGAGGCACAAGCTAACGCTGGACTCTTGTCCCATAACCAACGTACAATGCCTGTCACTGGTGCTGAGCTGTGAAATGTCCCCCGGTACATTGGAAAAACCCAGTCTGTGTCCTGCTTCCTCCTTCGAGGTGCCTCTTGCTGCTTTGTTCTTGTTTTATTCCTCTGATCCCAACAGACCAGTAAGCTGGGCTGGAGGATCCTTCCCTGTCTGCTGCCCCTGAGCAAACACTGAGTTTTTCCAAGAGCAGCAGCAACTGGCTTGCAACCCAGCTGCCTTTTGTTTTGTTCGTCTTTGCATGCACCAGCATTGTCATCAGTCTGGGCATTTGGAAAACTGGAGGGGCAGGGGACATAAAAGCAGCAAGATTGTGTCAGGCCAAAGGTCCATCTTGCCCAGTAACCTGTCTCCCAACAGTGGCCAATGCCAGGTGCCCTAGAGGGAATGGACAGACTAGGCAAACATCCTGTGTCGCCCATTCTCAGTTTCTGACGCAGAGGCTAGAGACACCATTCCTGCCCATCCTGGCTAATAGCCATTGATGGATCTACCTCCAAGATTGTATTTAGTTCTGTTTTTGAACCCTATTAAAGTCCTGGCCTTCACAAGATTCTCTGGCAAGGAGTTCCACAGGTTGGCTGTACATTGTGTAAAGAAATACTTCCTTTTGTTTGTTTTTAACTTGCTGCCTATTTATTTCACTTAATCACCACTACTTCAGCTAAGAAGAAGTAATTCTTTGTCTACTTTTTCTACACCAGTCATGATTTGGTAGACCTCATCATATCCGCCCCGTAACTGTCTCTTTTCTAAGCTGAAAAGTCCCAGTCTTAATAATCCCCTGACGTGAAAGCTGTTCCATACCCCTAATCAATTGTCCTGCCCTTCTCTGAACCTTTTCCAATGCCAGTACAGTAAAACCTGTGTTATCCAGCAAGCTCAGGGATTAGGGCCTTCCGATGATCTAAAAATTCTGGTTAACCGAGGGTCCCATCAACCTAGCAAAAACCAATGGACAATAATAGTAAAACTCAAGTTTTTAATATTGGTAGTTTTGTAGTGTGAGGCAGTTGGTCTCACATTTCTGTTTTGAGTTAAAGATGATTAGTACTTCTTAAATAAAAAATTAAGACAATTATGGTAAGCCAAGGCCTGTGTGCTTAAAGATGTGACAGTAGTGTGGCTGGGGGCAATGCTGGTTAACAAAGTTTTCTGATTAACAGAGTGCCGGATAACAAAGGTTTCACTGTATATCTTTTTTGAGATGGGGCAGCCACATTTGCATGCAGTATTCAAGAAGTGGATTTATACCGAGGCAATATGGCATTTTCTCGGAGGCTGTGTCTACACTGGGCTACTTATTCCGGAAAAGCAGGCACTTTTCCGGAATAACTTGCCAGCTGTCTATACTGGCTGCTTGCTTTTCTGGAAAAGCAAAGATGATCTACTGTAAAATTGTCAGTGTTTTTCCAGAAAAAATGACGATCGGGGCTTTTTTCCAGAAAAGCTCGTCTAGATTGGCCACGGACGCTTTTCCGGAAAAAGTGCTTTTCCGGAAAAGCATCCTGCTAATGTAGACGCGCTTTTTCCGGAAATAGTTATAACGGAAAACTGTTCCGTTTTAAGCATTTCCGGAAAAGGGTGCCAGTGTAGACGTAGCCTTAGTGATTCCCTTTTGCAGTGGACTCCTCCCTGCAGCTTGCTGGTTTTCTCACTCCCCCATCACAGAGCGCTACTGCCTGTGCTCGCGCTGTTCCTTTATTACTGGAAACAGGTGAGCAACACTGCCAGGCAAAGCAGGGTTGGGGCAAAGTTCAGATGCTGGGAACAAAGAGGAATGCAGTGGGCTGAGCAGGCCAGGCTGGGGGCGGGACTCAGGGTACAGCTAGACTGCAGGGGGGTTTCGGGATACCTTTGTCCAAGGAACGCATTTGCTCTTCCGCTTTTTTTGGCAAAAGAGCCAACATGCTCTTTCAGAAGCCCTTGTATTCCTTGTTCTACGAGGAAGAAGGGGGTTTTCAAAAGAGGTTTTTTTCTTCCAACATTTGACCCAGTCCAGATGGGCTGAATGTCAGAAAAGCCTCTTCTGACAAGTGTTTTTTTTCCAACAAATAGATGTAGTCTAGATGGCCCTGAGGGTGAAAGCTTGTTTTGCCCCTTCTTGTGCACGTTTGCTGCCATGCTTGGCATGGTTGCTGTATGCAATGTTCTGATCATTAGCTACTGCTTAGGCGCAGGCCAGTCAGCGGTGGGCTGAGGTCTGGGTGATACTCATCACACCGGGGCTCATGGCAGGGAGAGCCAGGGCAGGGCTAGTTTGGGTAGAACTGAAGCCAAAAAGAATGTTGTGGAGGGTTTAGTCTGATGCACTTTGAATTGATCACTGGTGGGTTTTTCTTCAGGCTGGACCTGCTCCACTATTGCTTCCTGGGAGCAATTACAGACCGGTAAGTCTAACGTCAGTACCGGGCAAATTAGTTGCAACAATAGTAAAGAATAAAATTGACAGACACATAGAAGAACATAATTTGTTGGGGAGAAGTTAACATGGTTTCTGTAAAGGGAAATCCTGTCTTACTAATCTATTAGGGTATGTCTACACTACCCCGCTAGTTCGAACTAGCGGGGTAGTGTAGACATACCCCCAGGAGTTGAAAAGTTAGATTCTGCAATCCTTATTTACATGAGTAATTCTATTTTGTTAAATGAGGCTACTCATATGAATAAATACTACTAGTGCCATTATGAGCTATATAACTGTATCCAGTTTATGTGGCAGGTTCACAGACTTGGTGCTGAAACAGATCAGAAATTGGGTTTGTCTTTTTTAATTTGTTTTTAACTTTAGGTTTCTGACAGAGAATGTTAAAGCAATACTTGACCTGTGAAAATAATTCTAAGAACTGTGTGAAACTTCTAGGACACTTGGCAGCTTGCACATAAATAATTCAGCATGCTAGACTCCACCTCAGAGTCACACGGAGATGGTTCAAGTTTCTATATCATTCCTCTACTCACCGGCTGCATATGCTGACTCATATACCTGCAGCTTTTCTGTTGTTCTTCAACTGGGGATGGACCCACCTTTGCTCCAAGTCTACCATCTGCTTCATCTTTGAGCTAGAAGGTACACCTAGAGAATTTTCAGACTCCGAATCTGTTCTGTCTGTCTCTGTCCCACTAAAGATGGACTGAAACAGCTTTAGAGTTGTAAGTTTAAACAAAAAGGCCCTTTTTGCTGTTGATTTGTATGCTAAACTCTTTCTGACTCCAATGAGCTGGGCTTGGAAAGAAAGTAAGATATGGCATTGTTTTGCTAGGATCATGAGCCTGACATTTTTTTAAACAGATTTGCTAATAGTATCCACCAGGGATATTAAATCATTGGGCATTAAAATAACAGAGAGTGGCTAAGTAATCTAACTAGGGCTTCAGTATCTATTAAAATTGTGGTCATCACTGTGATATCTGAAACCCCCTTGCCTCAGAGCAAGATTAATTAATACCTACTGAGTTACTGTAAATAAGAGTACTTTTTCTTCCTGCAGTTATACCTAAAGCTGGATTTGTGTTTGGTGCATAGCTTTCTCAGCCTGCACATACCATGCTGGCAAATAAATGCACTCCAAAGTGATACTATTGAAACGTTAGCTTTTTGTAAGGCATTGTCTGGATGAGCTGCAGATTTGTTAGGGTGAAGTGTGTGGCTGAAGGAACACAATTGCATATTTACATTGTGCACACAATTTAAGGTGCTCAGGATGTGCTCTCCTTTCTAAAATAATTGGCAGGAAATGAGGGCAGCTTTCAAGGTATTAGGCCACTGGTTCTCAAACTTTTTGACCCATGGACCACCTGACTCAATGGAAATCTTTCCGCGGCCCACCAGTTGCTAATGGAAACTCACCATTAATTACATAATTACACCCATGGCATTTTGCTAGTACTGCAGCTAGGGATAGTGGGTTAATTTAAATTATTAAACAGATTAAGACACCTCACTCTTCTGGTGCTCCAGCCCCACAGGACAAGGGGAAAGGAGAGAGAGGACTGAGGTTCGAGGCTTCCCATAGGCCAGATTTCCTTTTCTGGGGTTTTGGAGTTAGTGGATTTTGTGAACCCCCTTAGGCTCTGTGGTGGGGCTTGGAAGGGGTCCCATATGAGTAGAGATTAAAGAGACTGGGACTTTTCAGCTTGGAAAAGAGGAGACTAAAGAGAGAGAGGATAGACAGGGCTCACCAAACCGCAGCAAGCCCTGCTTGCCAGCTGTGCTGTCCGGCGATCTGCGCATGCACAGATCATCGCCCGAACCCGGCTCTTCCGGGTTGCAATCTACTTGCCACGGGCGAGGAGATTGCATTATTTGTCGAGCCCTGATGATAGAGGTCTATAAAATCATGAGTGGTGTGGAGAAAGTGAATAAGGAGAAGTTATTTACTTGTTCCCATAATATAAGAACTAGGGGCCACCAAATAAAACAAATGGGCAGCAGGTTTAAAACAAATAAAAGGAAGTTCTTCTTCACACAGCGCATAGACAATCTGTGGAACTCCTTGCCGGAGGAGGCTGTGAAGGCTGGGACTATAACAGGGTTTAAAAGAGAACTAGATACATTCATGGAGGTTAAGTCCATAAATGGCTATTAGCCAGAATGGTTAAGGAATGGTGTCCCCAGCCTCTATTTGTCAGCGGGTGGAGATGGATGGCAGGAGAGAGATCACTTGATCATTACCTGTTCGATTCACTCCCTCTGGGGCTTCTAGCATTGGCCACTGTGGGCAGACAGGGTACTGGGCTGGATGGACCTTTGGTCTGACCCAGTGTGGCCGTTCTTATGCTCTCAACTTGCAGTATTGTTGAGGACACTTGATCCATTCCCTCCTCCCTCCTTCAGCCCCTGCCGACGGCATCCTCCAACGCTGGAAAGTTTCCTTGAACCCAAAGTCACAGGCTGTGTCTGTTCAGGCCCCTGCTGGGCAGTTCACCCCAGAGTGCAGGTGTCCCTCTGGACCATGTTGGAGGAGATCCTGTTCAAAACCAAGAGAGGCAGGGCCCGGAGCCAGGAGGGGATGGAGAGCCCACCCTACTCAAGTCAGAGCAGGTTGTTAGCACAATTCACCTAGTAGGCAGCAACAGGGCCTGTGAGCAAGCAGACCGGGGCTGCCAGACAGTGTCCTAGGACAGGAACCCAGAGCAAGGGGCTGGCCAGGTTCCCCTACTGGCCCATGGGGAAGTGGCTCAGGACCTGGCCTTGGAGGGGACGCCTGTCAGGCGTGACATAGGATGGCTGCTCCAAGGGGCTCGGACGCTCCGCAAAGGGAGGAGTTTAGTGACCTGGTCAGAGGGCTGGACTATGGCGAGGAAGCCCCGAGTTCTGGCGGGGGCAGCACGATGCGAGGAAGTGGGCGTCAGACTCGAGTGGGGCTAATTCCCAGACACGGCCACAAGGAGGCATCACAGGGACAGAACTTCAGTGGCTGGAAGCTAGGGATGTGCAGGGTTAACTGGTAAGCATCTCCCTTACCGGGGGATGCTCACTGGTTGTGGTTCACTGTCAGGGACTGGAGCAGGCCCTCCTGCCCACTGCACTGCGGGAGGCGCTCCAGCAGCCCCAACCTGTCCTCATTTAATCCGTTAGCCACTAGAACATAACATTTAACCAGTTAACTAATTCAACAGGATTTAACATCCCTAGTGGCAACTGGCAGAGCTCCGCTGATGGCACCAGAGCCTTCCTGACTGCCGCCAACCCACAGCATTCAGCTGTTCGGATTCCCCACTGAGCTAGGGACCCCTCCCTGCCGAGGGAGCCTGGCTGGAAGCAGGAGCTGGGCTGGGATACCCTAGGCCACAGGTAGCTTGGGTTCAAGGAGCCCTGAACTGCCAGGTCTTTCCCCCTCATCTCCCCCATGGGAGCTCCATTCCCTGCCTTGCAACTGGCCCTACAAGACAGGTACCCTGCTCTGATCCCCGTGAGGACAAGGCAAGGCGAGACCTTGCTTACCCCAGCTCCCCCCTTAAACGCACAGACACGGCAAACTTCTCTCCTGGTGTTTATTGTTGTACATTGGAGGATTCAGCTGCCTTCTGTGGCACAGCGTGGCAGAGACCCTCACTGTGATGGCTTCCATCAGTGGCCCGGCTTGGCTCTCCCTGTGCCCCAGTGTCCGTGGCTTGCCATCTCCCACGCACTGCTCTACACGGTTAGCGCCGTGACCATGGCAGGCATGTGTGGGGGGTAGAGATGTCAGCAGGGTCTTGATTTACCAGCCCTGTTGTGGTGCTGAAGATACGTGGGTATTAAAGTGACCTGCTATTAGGTCTCCACATAACTGGAGCGTAGCGAGAGCTCTGCCAAGGCAGCTGAGTGGGTCTCTTTCCAGGGCTAGCTTGTCTCTCGGCCAGGCTAGGGGAACAGGCCCGGCACGCGTGTCCATGGTCAGGCCAGGACGGGGTATGTGGCGGCCGTGGTCACTCCGCAGTTGTTGTCCCGCATGGACATGAGGATGTAGCCGTCGTTCCCCCAGTAGGTGGACCAGGAGTTTTTGATGAGCCAGTAGCTCTCCCCTTGGAGGACCCCGTAGCCCACGGCTAGCACCGCATGATCCAGCTCGTTGCTCTTGTTTCCTAGGAGAAAGGAGAAGAATGGCCATCAGAACTTTCTTGCACAAGAGCGTCCATGCAGTGTGAACTCTTGCGCAAAAGCACATTGATTTTTCTGAGGTGTGGACGCGCTTTTGCGCAAGAAGTTTTAGCGGAAGATCTCCTCCACAAAAAGCTTCTTGTGCAAAAACCCTGCAGTGTAGACAAAGCCCTAGAGTTCTTTGAGGGGGTCAACATATATGTGGACAAGACCGACCCAGCAGATTCAGTATACTTAGATTTCCAGAAAGCCTTTGACAAGCTCTTAAGTAAAGTAAGTTGACATGGGATAAGAGGGAAGGTCCTTTCATGGACTGATAACTGGTTGAAAGGCAGGAAACAAAGGGTAGGAATAAATGGTAAGTTTTCAGAGTGGAGAAAGGTAACTAGTGGGATCACCCAAGGTCTGTCCTGGGACACATTCGATTCAACTTATTCATAAATGATCTAGAGAAAGGGGTAAACAGTGAGGTGGCAGAATTTGCAGATGATACCAAACTGCTCAAGATAGCTAAGACCAAAACAGACTGTGAAGAGCTTCAAAAAGATCTCACCAAACTAAGTGTTTGGGCATCAAAATGGCAAACGAAATGTACTGTTAATAAATGTAAAGTAATGCACATTGGAAAAAATCATCCCAACTATACATATAACTAGCCAATTAGCCCGTCCTAAGAACACCCCCCTTCCCCTTCTCCTCCCGCTGTGGAGCTCGGCTGAGTGCTGCCTGCTCAGCCAGGCCGCCGCGAGGGAGGAGAGGCGGGGTGGTGATGTACATGGCCAGGGGGTGGGGCTGTCTACGTCACCGCCCCTCCTTCCCCTCCCCTGCAGCGGCCTCACTGAGGGGTGCAGCACTCAGCGCCATGGCGGGCGGGAGAAGGGGGGGCGGTGATGTACACGGCCACGCCCCCGGCCGTGCATGTCAGCACCCTGCCCCCCTTCCCCTCCCACCGGGGCTCAGCTGAGCGGCACAGCACTCGGCCGAGCCGCCACGGAGGGAGGGGAAGGGGGGCGGGGCGCTGACGTACACGGCCAGGGGGCGTGGCCGTGTACATCAGCATTACAGACACTGGGCTACTCTATATGATATGATAGGGACTAATTTAGCTACAACTACTCAAGAGAGAGATCTTGGAGTCATTGTGGATAGTTCTCTGAAAACATCCACTCAGTGTCCAGTGGCCGTCAAAAAAGCAAATAGAATGTTAGGAATCATAAAAAAGGGGATAGAGAATAAGACAGAGAATATTTTATTGCAGTGTTTCTTAAACTTTAAGACCAAGGAACACCAAACAATATTAAAAAAAAGGGGTCGGGGGAAAAGGGTCGGGGGGAAAGTTGAGTAAAAAAAGTCGCCCCTTTAAGGGCGGCCATTTTTTAATTCTGTTGTTCTCCGTGGCACACTGGTATACCCCGGAACACAGTTTAAAAAACACCGCTTTATTGCCTTTATATAAAACCATGGTTCACCCACATCTTGAATACTGTGCACAGATGTGGTTGCCTCATCTTAAAAAAGATATATTGGCATTGGAAAAGGTTCAGAAAAGGGCAACAAAAATGATGAGGGGTTTGGAACGGGTCCCATATGAAGAGAGATTAAAGAGACTTGGGCTTTTCATTTTAGAAAAGAGGAGACTCAGAGGGGATCTAATAGAAGTCTATAAAACCATGAGTGCTGTGGAAAAAGTGAATATTGAAAAGTTATTTACTTATTCCCATAATATAAGAACTAGGGGTCACCAAATGAAATGAATAGGCAGCAGGTTTAAAACAAACAAAAGGAAGCTTTTCTTCACTCAACCCACAGTCAACCTGTAGAACTTATAGCCAGAGGATGTGGTGAAAGCTAGGACTTCAACAGGGTTCAAAAAAGAGCTAGATAGATTCTTGGAGGTTAGGTCCATCACTGGCTGTTAGCCAGGATGGGTAGGAATGGTGTCCCTAGCCTCTGTCTGGAAATGGATGACAGGAGAGGGATCAAGTGAGGATTACCTGTTGAGTTCCCTCCTTCTGGGGCACCTGGTATTGGCCACTGCGGGCAGACAGGACACTGAGCTAGATGGATCTTTGGTCTGACCCAGTATGGCCGTTCTATGTTCTTATCTCTGTTAGCGCCGGAGCTCACGGGAACACGACAGCCAAAGGAAATGCCAAGCACCAAGTGGTTAATTAACAGGATCCTAGACACCATGCCCATTGGTCTGACCTGGCTGTGGCAGGATCCAGCAGCTACCTCTGCTTGTCCCAGGGGGGGCTGCTTTGTCCAACTGGAGACAAGCAAAGTCCCCGCCCAGCGGAGACCCTCGCGCTGCCCAAGACTCACCGCAGGAGGGCTCGTAGTAGACGCCATTGGCGTAGAATGCAAAGGACTTGGGAGAGGCGTCGATGTTCACAGCCATGGGGCCGTGCTTGTAGAGAGCCGCTTTCAGGGCTGTGACGTTACCGGGGTCTACGTTGATGTAGCCGGCGACACTGGCGATCAGCTCAGACTGGTTGTAGTGACAGTAAAGCCGGGGCGGGAACTGGGTGACAAGGCTACTGCAGCCAAACCCACAGCCTTGCCCACCAGCCAGATCTCTCCTCTGCAGAGCAGAGAAGGCAGCCAAGGGGCGGGCAGGCAGTGCTGAGCTGTTAACACGCCCCTGGCTAAGGAGGAAGTTTCATTGCTAGAGACCCCAAATTCTCCTCCCCACCCTGGCACCCAGCTGAACTACTCAGGGACTGGATCAAACACCCAAGTTTCCACAGACCCACAATGTCCTTTCCAGCCACCGCCAGGCTCTGAGGAGCTAGTGACAGCTGTCAGCAAGCCCTGGCCGTGCAAGGTGCAATGGAGCAGCTCACGAGTGAGAAGTCACGCTCATGCACAAGGCGGGAGCTCTGGCCTCGCGGCTCTCCTGCCTAGACACTTGCACAGGCCCCCCCACCCCATGCTGGATCATCTCAGGGTGCATCTAAACTACATGGCTCCGTCGACGGGATGAGGCATAAGGGGGAGGTCGATAAAGGGCTTTCATGTGGACAGGGGAGTGTCCAGACTGCCCTGATCTGCCAACAAACAGCTGATCATCAGCTGATCGGCAGAGTGCGGCAGCCATTTAAATTTAAATGAAGCCGCGATTATTTAAATCGCGGCTTCATTTTCCCCATGGAGCCATGTAGTTTAGACGCACCCTCAGCGTCCTGCAGCCCCCCGCACGATGCAGAGCAGGGCTGAGTCTGTTTGACGGCGACAGAGGTGAGACACAGGCAGCGTCAGGACACAGTTCTGCTTTGCAGAGCTCCTCAGCACCCCCATTCACGCTGGAGAGTGGTGGGTGCAGCAGCTGCTCAGCACCAGGGCTGGATTTGCACCTTTACGCAGCTCATGGAGGATCACCTTGAATGCCCCCTCCCTCATCAGCCGACCTTCCTGTGGCACACAGTGCGGGAGAGGTCAGGCACCCCTAGGCACACGCCTTCGGGGCCTAATTGGAAACCCGGGGCACTTTGCCTGCGTCGCAGAAGGAGCCCGGCTTAGCTGGGGATTGGACTCAGGTCACAATCCATGGCTCTAACCACAAGGCCACCTTGCCTCTGGCAGGCCTGGAGTCTCTGAAGTGGCGTGTGCATGCCCCGGATAGGGTACAGTGCACCTCCTCCACCCTCTGTTCTCCTCTGGTGCCAGCCCAGCACTCACCTGGCCCATGTACGGCCCGTAGGACTCGGTGCTGGCAATGCCACAGTGCACCTCGCCGCCATCACAGGCGTGGTTCCCGAAGCCCCAGGAGCAGTCGACCAGGACTTGCTGGGACAGCGGGGTCAGCACGCCGGTCTGGGGAGAGCCGGGAGAAAGTCAGCGTCCCAGCCAAGAGCTCCAGAATCCCTTGGGTAACGCGCAAAGCCCAGAGGAGAGGGAGGATGGGACTTTCCCTGATCTGAGAGGGGTCTGTTGTCTGCCTGCGCCAGCCAAATATGCCAAAGGAGGGGGGGTCACTGGGGTGTGCCCAGCTGCCCGCTGTCCCATTCCAGGATTACCCCGCCCTTTGCTTCCTCTCCCCGAGCGAGGGGAGGCCTCTGCTTCCCAGGCGTGTTGTGTCTAGCAGGACCACACAGCGCACTCCATCTCTACCCGCTGCTCTTTAGCAGCAGCCAGAAGCTAGCCCTGGATTCAGGCCACGTTCCCCTTCAGTGCCCCGACCTTAATGCCCAGCCCTGGCAGCTCCAGCAGCAGCCGCTCCGTGGTGCCAGGCGCCGTCTGGGGTTCAGGTGCACCAGCTGCCTTGGAGATTGAGCTACCCCCTCCCTAGACGCAGCGCACTCCATCTCTACCCGCTGCTCTTTAGCAGCAGCCAGAAGCTAGCCCTGGATTCAGGCCACGTTCCCCTTCAGTGCCCCGACCTTAATGCCCAGCCCTGGCAGCTCCAGCAGCAGCCGCTCCGTGGTGCCAGGCGCCGTCTGGGGTTCAGGTGCACCAGCTGCCTTGGAGATTGAGCTACCCCCTCCCTAGACGCACACAGCAGCCGGGCTCTCACCTTGAGGAACAGGGCGCCCTCCATCGCCCCGGTGACAGCAAAGCTCCAGCAGGAGCCGCACACGGCCTGGTCCTTCACTGGGGTCACGGCGCCTGGGGAGGGTTGCAGTGAGGTAGTTTAGGGGGTTTAAAGCCAAGAGGGCTAATGGCATATGAGGGTGCATTAGGAGGAGCATTGCCGGCAGATCCAGAGAAGGGATTATTCCCCTTTATTCAGTTCTTGTGAGGCCACATCTGGAGTATTGTAGGGATAACATATTAATGTATTGAAAATGATTCCTCCAAATGGAAGTGACTCCCCATAATTTGTTCCCCACAACTTAAAGTGTTTAGATTTATTATTAATTCTTCTTCTTATTATTATTATTATTTGTTAAGATTGTTAAATGTTTAGATTTATTATTATTATTGCCCCTTTAGAATATAATGTATTAGGTCATGTAACTTAGAACTGTTAAGAATATAATCCTATGTAACCAGAAACAGCCCCCCACCCCACCCCCTCTGTGCTCCAGGGCATGCTCAAGTTTGTGCAAGGGGCTGCTTGAAATTGACATTGCAGAGATACATTGTAACAATGCATTGTCAAGCCACTAAATCTGCTATGGGAGCCAAGCCCTGTAATTGACTAAGGGCATTGTTACTTAATTGAGGCCTGTTCTCTTTAAAACATTGTAACTTTATTCAGCACTCAGAGAATGTTTTAAGCAATACCACCCAGAAACTTTCTGTAACTACAACTTTTATTATTATACAAAATACTGTATGAATGTATGAGAGAGTGCTTGGATGATGAATGAATGGCTCTGAGAGGTGCCAGCCTGAGAATACAGCAACAAAGGGCTGAAGAAGGCGTCAGGTGCCAGTGCAACCAAAAGGTGTCAAGTGGAGAAAACCAAGTACTGGAGGTCCACCCGATGAGATCACTGACGAGCACCTGGCAGCCACCCTGGAGACATCAAAATGATGCAGCAATTTCCATAGACTGGCATAGGAAGAAATTCCTATAAGAACTAAAAAACTATGGAATTAGAGTCCAAGGTTCTGCTGCCAGCCCACCAGGAGCTTCAGATGCGCATCTGATCAGGACTTCGCTCCCCACTACCATCACTTGTGTACAGAGTACCTGGCCAGTATTCTGTCACAAGCAACTTTCAGGCTGGTAACTATACACAGAACTTGAATGAATGGATGTATGAATGAATGGTTATATCTATCTATCTATCTATCTATCTATCTATCTATCTATCTATCTATCTATCTATCTATCTATCTATCTATCTATAGTAGTTAAACAACATTGTTTGCTTCTATCTTTTCTTTATTTTTTTTTATTATTATCTTTACAATAAATGTGGCTTTTTGCCTTATCCCCCTCATAAGATCCTGCTTGCTTGTATTTGGTACAACAGTATTGTGTCCAGTTCTGGGCCCCCCACTATAGAAAGGATGTGGACACATTGGAGAAGGTCCAGCGGACGGCAACCAAAATGATGAGGGGGCTGGAGTTTGAGGTGAGGCTGAGGGATTTGGGTTTGTTTAGTCTGCAGGAGAGAAGAGTGAGGGGGGATTTGATAGCAGCCTTCAGCTTCCTGAAGGGAGGTTCCAAAGAGGATGGAGAGAGGCTGTTCACAGTAGTGAGGGATGGCAGAATGAGGAGCAAAGGTCTCAAGTTACAGTGGGGGAGGTCTAGGTTGGATATTCGGAAAAACTATTTCACTAGGAGGGTGGGGAAACACTGGGCTGGGTTCCCTAGGGAGGGGGTGGAATCTCCATCCCTAGAGGTGTTTAAGTCTCGGCTTGACAAAGCCCTGGACGGGTTGATTTAGTTGGGATTGGCCCTGCCTTGGGCAGGGGGCTGGACTTGATGACTCCTGAGGTCTCTTCCTATGATTCTAGGAAAGCCTCCCACATTCTTCCAAAGGAAAGTGTCCATTTTGCAGAAAAGTTCCTTTTTACGGAGAGTAACAGATCCTACTTCGGCCCTCTATGGGGCTTAAACCTGGGACCCCCCTGCCATGGTCTACATTAGGGTTGTATTTCAAAATAACCCCCCCAGGTCGAATTTATAAGCAGAGCATCCATACTACCACACCTGTTATTTTGAAATAAACTGCAGAATTCGAAATCTGTACTCTGCTTTTCATCAGGAGTAACGCTAATTCCAAAACAGTTATTTCAAAATAACAGTTGTGTGGACGGTCAGGTGCTGCTATTTCTAAATAACTACTCCCCAGAGTAATTTGAAATAATTAGTCCCCAGTGCTTCCTGAGGTTCTACGTCCGAGGTAGCGCGTCCACATGAACGGAGCCTGCCTCGGACTCATTTCGAGGCTTCCCAGTTGTGTGACCACGCTAGTTTGATTTTGTACAATCGGGAGTTAAGTTGAATTTTCCAATTTTGAAGGAGTTTCCTAGTGTAGACGCGGCCTCAGAGCTGAAAGCTGCTGCCGCCGCCTGAGCTAAAGGCTTGCTCCAGTAGGTGGAAGCAGCATGAGACTCAAAACTCCTCCATGGCCTAGCTGCTAGAGCGGGAGGTGGGCTCCACAGGTGGCGAATTATATGGGCCTGTGGGGTCCATGTCCCACCCATAGTCTGGAACATGGGCCTGTCTTCATGGGCACCGGATCATGGGCAAGATGCTTGGGCTGTTCAAAGCCATCCCGCCCATGAACCTGGGGAGCATGGTGCCGGCAGCAGTGAGCGACGTGGCTCCAACCTGCTCTGCTCTGCCCCCAAGCCCCCACCCTGCCCTGCCTCTTTCCAACTTCTGCCTCCTCACTGCCAGGAGCTAGCAACACAGGGCAGAGCACCGTGGGCTGGGGCTGGGTCGCTCGCTGCTGCCGGTGCCAGGCCCCCACTAACTCCCCAGGCTGCCCTGGGCCCTGTGAGTCCCTGGTGTACGGGGCCCCCAAGGCACAGGGCTTGGGATGGTGACCCCAATCAGTCCTCTAGACGGACAGCTCTGCTGGGCACCACCAAAAATTATGCACACTCGGCCCCCAGGGTAGGCCCATGTCCTTGAAATGTGGTAGCCGAGCTCAGCTCAGGAAACCCTTCAGCCCGGCTGCTAGAGAGGAAGCTCTGCCCTTCGACACTAGCTCGTCAGGCGAAGGCAGGGAACCCTCAGTGCATCACAGCGATGGGACCCACTCCCTTCCAGAGGAGAGCCCCTCGGCAGGGCCTGGACTCCCCGCTGCTCCAGCGAGACCAGGGTTAGAATGGGCGGCTGAGCAACGCAAGCCTCACTCACCAGACAGCCTCCAGTCCAGGCTCTCCGGGAGGACGAGGCTCTCGTACCCCTTGGACGGGAAGGGCTGCCCGTTGTTGGGAGCCCCGCTCTTGAGCCGCCCCCGCAGCACGGCCATCTCCTCCGGGGTGCGGTCGGCCAGGTGGTTCAGCACCAGCTTGTAGGGCAGGTTGGCCCGATTCTTGGAGTGGACGTACCTGGGTGGGGAGGGAGGCATAGAGGAGGGAACTGGGCCGCAGACAGCATGGGCTTGTGGGCACCCTGCCTGCAGCCAGAAACCCCAAAACCAAACTGTCACAACTGGCCCGGGAGGCCCCTCGCCATGTCAGGGCGCTTGGGCGAAGCCACCCCAGAAGGAGCTGTTTCCTCCTTCCACCGGCTGATCAGAGGCCCCTAGTCTGGAGCCTGGAGAAGCTCAGCCCTGCAAAGCAAGGGAAGGGCATGGGGCAGATCTGGGTCAGGTTCCATGGGCCATGATGGAGGCTGTAGAGCAGTCATCCTTAGCACTTAGTGCTGGCCCTCAAAGCTGCGCTTGGGGTGGTGGGGTGCAGGAATGTCATGCAAGAGATTCCACCTGCTTTGGGGTGGGAGAGGGCAGGGGTTTGCAGGCAAACTTTCCAGCCCCCAGCCCCTTTGGTTTTTTGGGCGTCCAGTTGGAGACGCCTGGGGCTGGATTTTCAGTGTGGGCCAAGTATCCACGAGCTACAGTTGCTCGGCTCTGCTGAAAAAAAACGGAGCTCGATGGCTCTTGAGCTGGACATTCAAAGATCCGCACCCAAACATCACACTCCGAAACAGTGTCCCGGGTTTGTTCCAGGCACAGGGTGCAGTGAAACCCGTACCTGAGCGTATCCTCCCTTTTGAAAGAGTTCCCCAGCGCAGCCATATGCAAACAAGTCACTTCCGTCATTTTTAGAAGACACCTCTAGCAAGCAACCAGTTTTTTTGCTGGTGCCTTGGGTCATCCCTTGAGATGCTTCATCAAACCCTCTTATCCCTCCTTTCCATTCCTGGGCAGCCCCTACCTCATGTTGTGGATGAAAGTGTGTTTCCTGTGCTCCCTCTCCTTCTCGCTGCGGTACGTCTTCCTGAACTTCTCCTTGTAGTGGTGGAACAGCCGGTGATGGACCGTGTCTGTCTCTCTCATCCTCCCGACAAACTCCTGCATCGGATTGGCCATGATCCGGTGCTCTGGCCCCGCTCCAGGCCAATGCTCGCACGTTAGACCTAGGAGGGACCGTAGGATTGCCAGATAGTTTAACAAAAAAATACTGAACACTGTCGCCCCCCCCCAAAATGGGAAAAAATTCTGTCGAGGGGAAAAAAATGGGGGAGACCAAAGTTGATAAGAAAAAAAAGCACCCCCCAGAACAGAATTGTGGAACACACACAAAAAAATAGTTATATTTTTTAAAGGAAGCTGCCCCTTTAAGATGGCCACCATCTCTGCTGGTCATGTGGGCCAGAGCAGCATGCACTCCGCTCCCACACCAGCCCGGCGCCACCCTAGCATGGCGCCCAGCAAATGCCCCCCATGCCCTCTTTGCTACAACTCTGCTGCACTCTTCACTCTCCCGCCAAATGTGGAGGGGAAAATGGTCCCCGCGGGCTTCCATCCAAGGGAAACAGTGGACATTTCACATGTCTGGTATTTCCTGTTTTTTTTTAACTGGAAGGAGCCCACAAATACCGGACTGTCCGGGTGAATACTGGACAACTGGCAACTCCAAGGGACCGGGGCAGAAGAAACCGTCTGAGACAAGTTTGTGGCAAATCCAGATTATCCCAGGAACAGACAGGCAGGGCAAAGACTGTAAAGAGCAGGACTGACTTTCTCAGATCAATCATAAATCAAGCAGGGTCTTCCCCAGGTCACTTCTTGCCCCAGCAAAAAGTTGTGCTTGGCCTAGAGGCAGTGACTAGGCCAGATTTTGCTATTACAGGGCTGTTAATCTGGAGTAGCTCCCTCACGGTTGGGGAGGGGTTTACATCCGGCCCTGCACCAATTGCAGAGGGCCCTCCCCATGTCGCCGGCTGGGTTCGGAGCTAAGGGACGAAAGCTCTTTTGTACTCATCCCGATACGTTTCAAACCCGAAGATCTTGATCCTCTCTGAAATCCCTCGGGCTTGAGTTTCTCAAAACCCTCCGCAACAGAAGCCAATGGTGCTGCCCATGCCAACGGCACCTAACCTGAACCGTGGGGTGACACCGGAGCGTAGGCTGGGCCAGGGCAGTGTCACTTCTCCTGTTGGGTGTGGCTTCAGTCCATCGGGGGCCAGAAAAGTTGAGGCCCATGGATCCTGGCAAGTTAGCCAGCCTGGTTCGGGAAGGGCGGGGAATGGCTGTTCACGGGTGTAAACAAGCTCCAGCAGAACTACACCTCTGTACACCAGCCGAGGGGCCGTGTGGGATGTTGACACTTCTCTGCGCAGTGCGAGGTTTGCCAGCGCCAGCGTTCACAGCTAGAGTTGGCCAGCCAGGCGCTGCATGGCACAGTCTGTACGGATTTGCCAGCAGACTGTGCTCTGCAAGGACACCATGGCCATCCCCACAGGCACGAGTGGGTTTCCAAGCACAGGCCCCAGAGTCACCAAGCCCCATGAGTGTCTGGTGGCTTAGGTGGGGGAAGGTTCTGCCTTCCCAAACCGCCAGTCTGGCCCTGCCCACGCTCCGCCACCTACTGTGGGCGTCCCGGGGCAGAGTGTTGCTGCCCCAAAGTGCCCGTCCGCCGGGGTAGCTTGGATCACGCTGCCGCCTCCCTCCCCGGTGCTCTGGGGGCTAGAGCCATGTGGCCTCATCTCTCCCCGCTGCTCCCTGGCATGGGCCTCACAGCCACCTCCTTTCCCACTACTCTGGGGTGGGGAGGCTGGAGCCTCCCACAGACCAGGGCAGTGGTGCACTTACCACGTGGCAGCCTGAAGACGCTGGCCGGGAAGCGGCGGGCAAAGCCGCTGTAGTCAATTTCGTACTTGTCGTAGTGGGAGCCCAGCAGGCTGTTGAAGCCCCGCATCTCGTAGTGGACGGGCACAGGGCCGCCGGCGGAGCTGGCCACCCACAAGGTGTAGACGTTCTTCTTCCGGCCCCAGTAGGACACGTTCTGCCACACGGCGCAGAGCTGCCCGTTGTAGGACTCCTCCCGCACGGGCTGGGGAGGCAGCGGGCGTTAGGGGCACATTTCCGCACGAGACAGGACAGCTAAATGCCGGTGCAAGAGGGGGTCTCTATGGTGCACATACAAGGTCCTGCCCGCGGTGCTCCGGCAGCAGCTGTGCAAGCTGTGAGCAACGGGATGGGGGCGGCGGTCAGGCCTAACTCGCATCTCCCCCCTTGGGGGACGTACCCCCTGGAGTGCACATAGGGAGAAACCCCCACCCTCTGCAGTGAATTATCCCTGGCAGGGTGCACGAGGGGGAGAGGGACCCCTCTTCACTTGCGCACCCACGGAAGGGTCACTCGGGCCCACCTTCAGCCCTGGCACAAGCTTCATGGTTTCCGTGGCGATGCACCTCTCTCAGGGCGGGGCTGGATCTGCCTCGGAACATCACTGCCAGGGGATGGGATGCGCTGGCTCCGTTACCCATCATGCACTGTGCCGCCGAGCCCCGGGCCATGTGCACTTTGCAAGGCTGCAGCACCATGGCCAGCGGCCCGGGGGTATGGAGCAGGGCGAGGAAGCTGGAGGGAAGCAGCCCAGACCCTGAGCAGGAGGCCTGCTCTCTGGGGCCCTTCCTTGGCAGGAGCCCCGAGACAGGGGCTCACCTTGAAGCCGTCCAGAGTGGGGAAGACGCTCTGTGGGCTGATGAGATCCCCGGCTGTGCCGTTGACCCGGAAGCACTTCCGGACGTTCACCTGGGTTTCCGTGGTTTCTGGGGTCACCTTGAAACTGGCGCCAAATGGCTTCAGGGAGCCAAGCTGGTATGTGATGACTTGGCCTGCAGGGAGGCACCCAGGGCAAGCAGTTACCGTGGAGGGCTTCAGCCCTCCAGGGGAGCCATGCTGGGCGCACTAAGCTCTCCCGCGGGGCCAGGGGAAGCGGAATGGAGGAAACCTTCACTCTGTGCTGAGCAACGGGGCTTTGGGAGACGCAGGCCTTGCCAGGGGCTGTGCTCCCTAGGACAGGATCAGGTCCCCACACTCAGCACTGGTTCACCAGAGGACTTGCCCTGCTACGCTGCTGGCAGGAGAGGCGAGGAGAAGCAGGCTGGCTGGACAGAAGAGGCTGGGCCGTGCCATTGCAGCAGCTGTGACCTGAAGCCATTAGCTGCTTTGCAGCAAAGAACCAGGGAACTCACCGGAGCGGTGCGCACGGTGGCTCTACCCCCGAGTGCCCTGGCGTGGATTTCCCTCTCCGGCAGACCCAGCCTGCCAGAGTCAGGACCCCAGCTCCATGCTTAGGGGTAATACTAGAAGCTCATTTATTCGTCCCACAGAGCATAAACTGACCTCGCCTCCGGGACCTGGGCCCAGGTGCTGTATCTTGAGGCACGTCCCAACCCCAGAGGACATCCCAACCTCAGAGGAGAGAGCCTGGCTGTGCAGCCAGACGTGGGCAAGGGGAGAAGGATGCTGCCTCCCTGGACTGCTACCCCCACGGCACTCAGGTGACCTACCGTGGTAGTACTGGATCCGGCTCTGGCCTCCGGTCAGGTTGTACCAGGCTTCAAAGGGCTCCTCGATTTCAGCATAGGGAAGCCTGATAACACCTGCAGGACCACACGGTGACAGAAGCCAGGTTAAACTGAGTCCATCCCATAGAGACAAGGTCACATTTTTGCCCTAGGGACGCTGTCCCTAGATCAGTGGTCTCCAACCTTTTTACACCCAAGATCACTTTTTAAATGTCGGGGCAAGCCAAGATCTACCCCATCCCTTCCTCCAGGCCCCACCTTCTCCACTCCCCTCCTCTCCATTATGTACTGCCCCCAGCCCTGACTCACTCTCACTGGGTTGAGACAGGAGGTGCGGGCTCTGGAGAGGGATTAGGGTGCAGGAGGAGGTGGAGAAGGGGATGCTGGCTCAGGGAGGGGGCTCCAGGCTGGAGAGTGTTGGGGGCAGATGGAGGGGTGAGGTTAGGGTCAGGGGAAGTGTTGGGGTGCTGAGCAAACCAGAGGCTTCTGAATGTGAGGGGGCTGGGGGGTATGAGGAGCTCAGGGCAGGGGGGGTGGGAGTATGATGGGCTCAGGACAGATTTGCAGTGTGTGGATGGTGCAGGAGTGTTGCGGAAGAAGACTAATGATGTAGGGGCTCAAGACGGGGTTCAGGGGTTTGTTGGGCTCAGGATTCTGGTTGGGGGGAGGGGTGCAGAAATGTTATGATGCTGCGGCCAGATGGGGACTTGGCCCCAATTGGGGGCTAGTTGGCCAGGCTTCATTTTTAAATACAATATTATGTCCAACACAAAATGTTTCAGCATTGTCTTTATTTATGGGAGGAGTGGGGAACCGGTTTTGGGTTGGGGGTCGCTGACCCACAGAAAAATCAGTCGGGGACCATGTAAGTGACATGCAAAAAACAACCCCTCCAAACCCTCCCAAGCCTCACTGATGTGGCCCCAGCTGAGACCCCCGGCACTCCAGCCCTGGGGGGAGGGCAAGTAGGTCTGAGATTCAAGGCCTCAGGCCAGATTAACTCTTCTGGGGTTCCAGGGTCAGTGGATTTTGTGGACCCCTTTATGCTCTGAGGTCGGGCCAAAAACGAGGGATCTAGTACATGGGACAGGAGTGCCAGTGAATGAGATAGGGATGGGGGTGCAGAATCTGGGTGGAAGTAGGGTACAGGAACAAGCTGGGGATAGGTGTCTGGCCAGTGGGCAGGAGGCAGGGTGCTGGTGAGGGTCTGGCTAGGGGCAGGAGGCAGGGTGCTGGTGAGGGCTGGGGTAAGGGGCAGAGTGCTGGGGCAGGGTGCTGGGATAGGAGGCAAGGCGCTGGTGGGGGGAAGAGACGGGGTGCTCTGAGGTCGGGCCAAAAACGAGGGATCTAGTACATGGGACAGGAGTGCCAGTGAATGAGATAGGGATGGGGGTGCAGAATCTGGGTGGAAGTAGGGTACAGGAACAAGCTGGGGATAGGTGTCTGGCCAGTGGGCAGGAGGCAGGGTGCTGGTGAGGGGTCAGGCCAAGGAGAAGGGTGCTGGTGGGGGGTCTTTTCGGGGTAAGGGAGCAGGGGTGCTAGTGAGAGGTCTGGCCAGGAGAGGGGGGCAGGAGCAGCTCAGCTGGTACCTGGAGGTCTCCAGGGACGAGGATCTCTGGGGCAGGGTCTGTGGCAGTGCTGGAAGAAGCGGACATGCGGCTCCTTTAAGAAATCCAGCCGCTCCGGATCCTGCACCACCATCTTAACTACCCCCCCCCCCCCCCCCCGCCTCCCCAGAGCACGGGGAAGGAAGGGAAGACAAGAAAGCGTGTGCACTGTTGTGGGCCGGGGAGCAGCGTGCGCTTTCTTCTCTCCCCCCGTCACGCCGCAGGAAGGAAGGAAGGAAGGAAGGAAGGAAGGAAGGAAGGAAGGAAGGAAGGAAGGAAGGAAGGAAGGAAGGAAGGAAGGAAGGAAGGAAGGAAGGAAGGAAGGAAGGAAGGAAGGAAGGAAGGAAGGAAGGAAGGAAGGAAGGAAGGAAGGCAGCACAGGGAAGGAAGAGAAGTCCAAAGGCTCTGCTCCAGATCTGGCGCGGAGCCGTGGGACTCTCTCCCCATGCTGCAGAAGCCGGCGCTAGCTCTATTTTTGCAGAAGGCTACAGCGCCAGCGTGGGCTCCTCGCTAGCGGTGGAGGGGAGTAAAGGGGGGGCCGGGAACACTGCCTCACGCTCGACTGGCCATGCCCCCACAATCAACCAGTCGATTGTGATCGACTGGTTGGTGGCCACAGCCCTAGACCGTACACTCAGACAGGCTGCCCAGCTGCTGGCTGACTGCAGGGGGAGCTAAGAATGACCCAACAGCTGATTTTAATCTGGGGACGGCCTAATCCTGAGCTCCGGCTTGCTCTGCACCCAGGCAAACTCCCTGAAGCCAGCGGGAGGGTGCAGAAGCCAAGTAAGGGCTTGCCCCCGTGCTCTCTAGCCTGGTTTCACGGTCCAGCATTTTCAGCGCAAATCATTTTTCATGGCTGCAGATTCATGATGGATTGGGGTTGGGGACATGGGGCAGCACAGAGGTAAATTTCAGCTACTGGAATCTTCCCTTCTAGGGAGAACTCGCTGGGTCCTACTGTAATTTTTTCAGGCCAATACAAACTTCTAACATGGGCCCCCTCCCACACACACAGCACAATTTGCAGCCTGGGCCAGGCCCGGTAAAGTGTATCCCTCTCCCTGCCCCCAGGTGCGGGCCCTGAGACCTGGTCATGATCAGTCCAGGGCATTAGCCCAGCTAGGAGGAGAGTGTAAGTTTCAGTTGTGTCTTGTCCCAATAGGGAGCCTAAGCAAACCACTTCAGAGGTAAAAAAGCTCCTTTGCCAGGGTCTGAAAGGGGCTTGAGGAGGGGAA